AAATGGCAGGCGTCTTGATGGTTATCATTAGCCCTTTAGTTGCCTTCAGGCTTCACAGAGGGGAGGGGGAACATCGAATTGAAAAAAGTCGAGATGGGGTGGGGGAACAGAAGAGTGCTTCAAGGATGTAAGAGACAAACACAAAGGTCGAAAAAGGTGAGGTGAGTGCTGTAGAAGAGGTCGAATATGGCATAGAGTGAGGTGATGGCAGTTTGAAGTGAGAAGTCAACTGCCAGTTAATAGACTTTTTTGCCGTATAAATATACGTTGCCCAGGGTGCATCACGTGGAGGTAAGTCTATCGCACACCCCGCTTATTTGAATATCTACTGTTGAAAGAGTGCACAAACGGCGGAATATCTTGAATGAAGCTTATCCGATGCACAGATTTATCAATCCCTGAATTTCTGCCCTCACACCTGGAGTATGTAAGTCTACCACTGAAACAATTCATACCGTGCAATTATCGTCTAACCAGCAGCTAATCTTCTACTGCATGCCCCGTTCTCATTGGGCAAAGTTATTTGAGTGACAAATACTCCCCCCCCTATTTCCTGATTTTTTGAGTATTATCTCTTTCATTCTCCAAAATCAGGTCTGCCCCACACTCAGACATTTCAGTCTCTAGCTATTTGAATTCCCATACTTATTTATTCTTCATAATAATAATAATTGTAGGAGAGTCCAATAAAGCTGGTCTGCTCGCCCCTGGGTCAATGGCGTCTCCAATCAGACACGATGCCTCGAATGCCACCTTTCCCCTCCTCCCACCCTCTGGTCAGTCTCCTCTCTTCGACCTCTCAACTGCCTACGACATCTCCTTTACAACCTCCTTCTCCTGCAAATTTCCCTGAAGATCTCCTTTCAGACGATCGATCGGGTGAGTATTGATGGGGGGGGGGGACGTTAAATGTAAAAGTGCAATAATTACTTTCTTTTAGTTGTGTATTTCGTTGAGAGTATATTCAGTACTTTCCGGCTCGAGACCTTTAGAAAGTTCATTGTGATATTCCAATGCTTTTTCTACATTCGTAGCTATATGATGGCATGAATTCTATCTTATCCTTTTATCGCATCGAATTGGGCTAATGTGTAAAATAAAATTCCTTGAAAGTTATTTTTTTGAATAACCCAATTTCCCAAATGTAGTACAAATGCACAAATGGCAACATATTCACAAGTACATTTGAACCAAGTCGGTGGTCAGGTGTGTGTGTGTGTGTGTGTGTGGAATTTCTAGTCATGTGGTTTGTTGAAAATTGTGGTGGAGTTTTCCCTGCGAAATCGAAGCACAAAACAGCTTTATTCCCTTCTCGAGGCACAATTGGCATTTCCAATTCTATGCATTGGCAAATGTGAGCATTTAAATTTTTCCAAGGGAAAATATGAAGAGAATACTTTTAGTTAAACGCGGCTTTTTACACTCTACAAAATGACTGGACTTTTGCAGGCTCAGCTATGTGCTATCTGATTGGCTGCCTAAATAGCCAATAATTTGCAGCAACGGCTCCTCCACAGGTTTGAGTGTGGAAATCCACTCGAATCGATTATCTATCGCATGATCTACGAACTTATGATTGCAATTGATGGAATGCACCGAAAATACTCGACTTAGTTTCTTGAACACATTGTAATTTCGATTTCCCTCAATTACTCCATTTAAGAAGTGAATTCCACACACACAGCTATTGCGTCACAATCTCTGTTCTATGTTTGCGATTATGAAACGTCTCATCATTGTCAACAGACACCCCTACATTTCAGGCCCATAGATTCAAATCTTATCTTTGAGTGTTTATTGATTGAAATGAGCTCAATCGCATTTATGTCAATATAAAGCCATCTTCGAAGGCGCTGTTCGAAAATCGTTTGTTGCACATTTCCATTGACACCCTTCAACTTCTGGCTTTTCTTTGCAAAGGTTTATTATTTATATCAAATGGCAGACGTTTTGATGGTTATCATTAGCCCTTTAGTTGACTTCAGGCTTCACAGAGGGGAAGGAACATCAAATTGAAAAAAGTCGAGAGGGGGGAACAGAAGAGTGTTTCAAAGACTAAGGTTGAAAATTTAGAAAGTTTGTGATGTAGTACTGTGGAAATGGTCGAATATGACATACAGTGGGGTCATGATAGCTTGAACTCAGAAGTCAACTGCCGTTTTATAGACTTGTCGTATGAGTATACGTTGCCCTGGGTGCACCACATGGAGGTAAGTCTATCGCACACTCTGCTTTGCAAATATTTTACAGAGAAGCTTACCTCTTAACGGATTGG